GTTCTACTCTCATTGATCATTAGTTATAAAATCATAGTTTCTTGGTTGTTATATCTTCTTTTTCACCACGAAATAACTTCTCCAAGTCTCATTGAAGTGAGCTTATTTTAATGGAGAGAAATTGGCAGCATAGGCTTCTTGAGCTATCGGGAAGACATCAGTTGTGAATCAGAATAAGCTATGTTGTGTAGGTTCCGATAGATTTTATAGAATCTTAGTGATTTTGCATGTTTTCCCATGGTATCCTCTTATATGAAACTATTAGTCAGATTTTTATTCATCAAGTGTCTTTATTTTAGCATCTGTAGAATCTATGCTCCCTGGTGTTCAAACCAACTGACTTAATAGTTCTGGTGTGCTAAAAAAAGAGGTGTACTTGATTGTCTCTTCTTTGTTGTTCCTTCTTTAAGAAAATTTCCTATACAGTTCGATAATAAATTATGGATTATTATCACTTGTTATCAAAGGTTGATAATAATATCATATTAATTCTTGCCGTATTGGCGCATTTCCTTTGAAGCCACTTTCCATTCCTTTCCTTGCTTTCTCTTCTCCATATCCGTTTCACATATTTTTCCTTGTATTACAGCGCCAATCCACTACTGGCCTGCTAGGCACCATGATGCATGCCCTACAGCGTGTTGGTAGCGCACGGCGTCAGTCAAATACATCACATTCAATCGTTTCCTCTGCCCCAGTTACTACTTCTACCACTGCGGCAAAACTAGCCACAGAGGCTGCCACAGCCACTAAGCTGCAGCCAAATGAATCTGTTCAAATGACTAACCCAAGCTCTTCGGCCAAGGTGACTACTACTAACTCAACTTTCAATGACGCCACAGCTTCCACTACTGCTAATGGTCGAGTTGGAAAGTCAGCATCATTAGTACCTTCCGGTAAAGTCAGAACTAGTTTGATCCGTGCGACGCCCTTACCAGCTCAGCCATTACCTGATTTTACAATCAGCCCGCCATCTCCCGTTGGAGAGGAGAATTCGGTATACAATATCCTTTCATTTGCGTGATTTGGATTAGTTCTCTTATAAAAATAGCAGTTTGGGGATTTGTATGAAGGGAAACAGCATACCTTTTTGCTCGTTAATTTTATCTAATGCAAAATTTTTGACTTTGTTTTTCTTTTAATTGTGCCAATATCTTTGTGTATCAAAGATCAACTCGATTGGATATTATCGTTCGACAAGTTTGAAGACGGCCTTCTATAAGACTTTCTGTTTGTAAGCATTTATTAAAAATAAGGCAGTTTATTCTCCTCATTAAGCACTTAAAAGTCAATTTTTGCTGTACTATAAGAAATAAGGCTTATAGCTAATTCATCCTTCAATATTTCATGGAAATATAATA